TGGGGAAAAATGCCTTATTTGTGTCTTGGAAAATTTCATTGAGGTGGATGTAAAGTGGGAATGTGTAATGAAATAGACAGGAGGCACTCAAACAATCTAGCACAGAAGTCAAGTGCAAGTGTGAACAAAATCCCACGGGTGGGTGAAAGACCATCACATTTCTTCTATGCCTGGGACGCCTGGGCTCTATTCTTATTTTTCTCACTGTCCTCCTGCACCCTCCATCCCAGGCTTCTTTTTGTTTTCTCCTCTGGACTGAATATGTGCATCTAATAGAGCTAAGTAAAGTGCCTTTGTCTACCAGCATTTAACACTGTGGAGTGCATGTTTTTAATTCACTTGGAAAACTCTTGGGGCTTTTAAAATGAAGTATTAACCCATTTTTATTCTATAACTTAAAGGAATTTTCCTTAAAATCAAGGGAGGACTGATTGATGTGTTTTGTATAGATTTTTTCCTTTTTTTATTTGTATGTGTAACTTTTTCATAAGGAAAATGTTACAAATTCTAAAACTCTTTCTATTTCTTCTTAGTCAGCATATTCTTAATATGCTGCTTATCTTGAGGGAAAAATAGTGAGTAAAAACAGGATTTTCCATTACTTCTTGGCATCAATTTGATATTAATTTCCACATGGTACAAGCAGCTCAACCTCCCCACTGCAGGCCCACACTCCTGGTGTACAGAGAGTAGATTGTTTATTCTGAGGCAAGGAAAGGGTAGATTAAAAGTATTTTTAAGGTATCTAGTTTCCTCTGTTGAAAGGTTACAGTCTATTAATACATTTTATTTTGTTTTAAAATTTATTTTATTTTTTATTTACTGAAACACAATTGATTGTATGTATCTATGGGGTACAGCATTGACTATCAACCCCTGTGTGCAAAATGTGATGCTCACATCAGGATGATTAGTATATTCATCATCACACAGTATAATCAGTTTTTGTGTCCTCACTCATAAGCGGGAACTAAGAGAAAAACGAATAAATAAAAAAAGAAAGAAAGAAAAATACAGCAATCACAATAATTCATTGAACATTCAAAAGGAGAGAATAGAACTGAGGCCACCAGAGGTGAGAAAGGGGGAAAGGAAGGGGGTTTAGCCAGAAATTGGTAAAAGGCCCCAAAACATTTATTTATTTTAAATTCAGAGTGTATTATTAGTTTGTGAGGGCTGCCTTTGCAAAGTACAACAAGCTGGGTAGCTTAAACAACAGGAGTGTGTTGTCTCACAGTTCCAGAGGCTGGAAATCTGAGATCAAGGTGTTGGCTGGTGGGTTCATTCTGAGAGCCCTGAGGGAGAATCTGTTCCAGGCCTGTCTCCCAGCTTCTGGTGGTATGCTGGCAACCTTGGCGTTCCTAGGCTTGTAGGTGCATCACCCTGATCTCTGCCTCCATCCTCGCATGGCGTTCTCCCCATGTGTATTTGTTTCTATGTCCAAATTTTCCTCTGTTTATAAAGACACCAGTCATATTGGGTTAAAGCCTGCCCAAATGACCTTGTTTTAGTTTGATTAACTTTGTATGGGCTTTGTCTCCAAATCAGGTCACATTCTGAGGTACTGGGGGCTAGGACTACTACAAATGTTTTTTGGGGAAACAATTCAACCCATAAAACGGCGTCGTTATTAGCACTTGCATTTAAAAACATTTTTAAAAAGATGCTCCCAGAAGTATCCCAAAGCGGGTTCAAGTTTGTGTGGTATTAAGAGGCAGAAGAACTTGAAATGAAAAACTGAATTCCTGAAATTCTAGTGTTGTGATTTGGCCAGAGTTTTTATCCATGCTTTCCTTACACTTTTATTTTCGTAGTTGAATCTTCACTGAATGAAAACCTTTAACAAAGACAGAAACAAAACTCATTCTTTTTGATTGCCTGATTTAAGAATAGTGACTAAAAGCTGCTGTTTAATAAACTCCTGTATTCACGTATGTTCTCGTTACACCTACAATTTGGGGACTCGCACTTTGTTTTATCAGCAGCGAGTTTGTGCTGAGCTGCATTTATTATTGGATGCCTCACTTTGCTTTCGTTAATTTCCTTGCTAAGTGATAAGTAGCATTAAAGTCACGCTATTCTGAGTTTGCATTCTGAGACAGAGGGACAACTGCATTATTGAACTTTTATTCTTTCTTTTTAAAATTCATATTTCTGCATCACCTATAGAACTCGCCACACTTAATCCTATGATCTCATGAACAGGAGAAACCAAGGCTGTGAAAGAAGGAGGTGATAGTGAAGAGTGAAAAGCATGGGCAGAACAGGCTGGGCTTGTAATGGAATCTATTTAAAATAATATTGCAGGCTTACATTATGCTTGGGATCCATGCTCTAGCTAGACTATTTCATTTTATTTTTACAACTCCGTGTGGTTGATGCTGTATTGGTCAGGATAGGCTGCTGTGGTAACAAACCACCCTGGAAGTTTACTTCTTGTTCACGTAATGCCTGTTGTTGGTCCAGGCAGACTCTCCAAGGTAACTGATCTCCATGAGTTGGTTCAGCATTCTAGTCTACGTTGGTGTTAAGTTGTGTCTTATCAACAGTGCTTCAGTGATCACTGCAGCAGGGAAGAGCAGGCTGAGAGTCAAGTGCCAGTGATTAAAGCCAACCCCTGGGGTGTAATACCCATCATTTCTCTTACATTTCCTTGGCCAAAGAAGTCATGTAGTTATACCCAGTTTTAAGGGGTTTAGGGAAATGCAATCTTGCTGTGTACCTGGAAGCAGAGGGAAACCAAGTATCAGTGAACGGTAATGTGTTGAGATGGTCATACTTCCCTTTTACAGATGGGGAAACCAGAGTTCAGACAAGCTGGGTTACTTGTCCAGAGACACAGAGTTAGAAAATAATGGAGCTGCTCATCAAGCGTAGGTCTGTTTGACTTCAAAGACTATGTTCCCAACCACTTTGAGTTTTGAGTTCTGCCTTCCATAGGAACAGATTTAACTACATTGCAGATAGGGCGATTCAACTGGTAAAGCTAATTGCCCCCAGTTTTCCTTATAAGGTGCTATTGACAAGGATTTAGAGGAGATGGGGAAGAAGTGGATGATTGATGAGGCTTCCACTGAGTCTCTGGGGAAATTTTCTGGATGCTTCCTCCTCTGGTTTTACTCTCTTACACCTCAAAGAACCTCTGAGAAGCATCTGCACATTCTCCGTAAAAGGGAAGAACCAATCCAATAACAGAAGAGTTTTGAGTTTGTCTGCTTTCCTGGAGATGAGGTATAGAAGGTATAGTCTTGTGATTATTAAAAGGATGATTACAGCAAATTAGGTTGGTATGGAAATTTACAGCCTACAAAACATGTTCCCATACAATCCAAAGATAAGAGCAAATCCAAGTGTGACAATTGACTATGATGCCATATCAATGAGGCGTGATTGTCAAAGGAGCCAATGAGATCTGAGATTGCATCAGCGAAAGGGCATTCACAAGCATGAAGTAGGCCTGGGAGTCATATCTGGGATAACTTTGTGGCCCTGTCACCTAGGCAAATATCTTTGTCTCTCTCAGATTCTTGATGTATGAATCAGGAGCATAATGATAAATTCATGGAATGTTTGTGAAGGATAAATAAGATAGGGTTAATAAATACTTAACACAGTGCTGGGCACCTAGGTCTGTCTGTGCTCAGTCAATGCTAGCTGCTTTTATTATGATGATGATGGTTGATATTGTGGTGATTTTTCAAGTAGGGTCTGTGACTATTTGGCTCTGCGTGCAATGGTAGATCACAGAGGGAACATTCAATCACTTCTGGGAGCACTTGAAGACAGTGGAATACATTTTGAGGCTGGCAACCAGGATGGAGAAATGACCTGAAACCATCTTACAAGGCTCGCTGAAGCAACCAACAATATTTAAACTGGAAAAAAGACACTTTAGGAGAAACTTTAGAACATGGGTCACTATTGTCTTTGGATCTCTGAAAGGTTGTCCTACAGCATAGGCTTGAGTTTTATTACTTATGGAATTAAGAAGCAGTATATCCATGGGTAGAAGTTGTAGAGAGAAGGATATCAATTCATTTTGGGATAAAGTTGCCAGCCAAGGAACAGAACTGTCTTGGGAGGAAGCAAGTTTACTGCCATTGGTATTTAAGGCATTGTTTGGGTAGGTATTGATGGGGTCATGGGGATTGAAGTATCAGATGAGTAATTAGATTAAAGAAACTTTAAGTGAAACTCAACACTAAAGTTTTGTGATTCTAATCCTGGGTGCCTCTAGAGAGCTGTAAAAAAATAACAGTGTGTTGGACCCAGCCTTCGACCAATTAAATCAGAATCTCCGGGGGTAAGGCCTGGTTCTGAACAGCAGGAGACAGTATCATTCTGTGTGAGAATGGTAATGAAAAAGAACAGAGTTTGATTAGGTTTGGCTTGGTTGAGTCCCTAATTTTGAGGAATCCACCTAAAATGAAGCCTCTGATCATTTTGGATCCTGATTTGGGAAAGGGGTTGAGTTCCACGGTCAGGTTGAAATACCTGTCTGCAGAACATCTTATGGGGGGTGAAAACAGGGACTGTAGATACTTGTATTCAGCTATGGGAATGAGTCTATTTTCACCCAAAGAAGCTTGGTATTATCCTTGTTTACTGGCTGGTGAGTGATTCATATGGTGCTTTTTGGGGGAGATGTGTTCAAGCGAAATGTATTGCTTCTATGTAAAGTAGTTTATTTCTTCTGGGATATACCAGCCTGCTGATGCAACCCTGCAGAACAATGCAAATTCTGGGGTGTGTGTGTGTGTTGGGGCAAGGAGAAGATGGGAGTGCACATAGAAATACATTTATCTAGAGCATAGAGCATGCCTTCACACTTCTCTCCTCTGACCTATACACCAGAAGCATGAAAACCACCCATTGACCACTGGCCCTTGAGCTTGGTTTTTCCTAATCTCTGGATGCTCCATGGCTGAGCTGTCGTCCTTCAGCTTGACCAGCTAGCAGCTGTCAAGTAGCCCCATGTATCCCCCTCCCCTTGTTCCCGGGTGGCTTCTTTCTGCCCGATCCCTCATCCTCTGGCGTGGCATTTTCTCCATGACAGTCTGCCCCTGAACTGCTCTGGCTGATGCTTTGGTAAAGGCTTGCAAGGAAAGAGAGTAACAGCCGCTGGCGAATCCAGTTTGCGTAAGCACCATCAGCAATGGATGAGACCTTCCCCAGGCTGGAAGAAGACTGGAAAAAAGGACTTCAGCGAGAGGCGGCTTGGCAGGTAAGTAATGTCCTCTGCTCCAGACAGGACCCAAATCTCTCTCAACCCTTTTAGCCCTGGGTCTAGGTAATATGCCTAAGTCTATTTGCAGAGCTGTATTATCTGCAAGTATCCATTTGGGAAAAGTCATCATTAGTTTCCATTTCTTTGTAAACCATGCAAATAAGACTACAAATGAATTTACTCTAGATTCTCAAGCAAGCTAATAAGGTTTTACAAATCTATAGATGTTGCTAAATTTATACTTTCTTAATAAAGGCCTTTGAATTAACAACTAGCAGGTGTATATTAAAGGAAATATGTAGATTTGGTTTGTGTGAGTACAAGTTCATTGCAATATAAAAATTTAATACAACACCTGTCATCAGACTTACTTCATGGTGTTATAGTCGCTTGGAATAAGGGGCTTGGTTTTAACCTATTTTAATGAGGTGACCATTCTTTTAATGCAGCTTGTGTGCCTTCCTTATTTATGCTGAACTCATAATAGGCAGAAGCTCTGTGGTATGCAGAGTTCAGGCTAAAGGATTCATTTTGGTGTAGAAGCAGTTTTCATTAAAATATGCAAAGCAGTAATGTTTATACGTTACAATACCTATTTCAAATTAGCAAAATTATATGCTCCTGTCTCGTAAGCTGCCAACTGAAATCCCTTCCTAAATCCTGTTGAATGGCTTTGATTACTCTTCTTCACATTACACATTACACACCTCTAATGCATATTTTTATGCATCCACTCCATTGCCATTTAATTAGACAACAATATTGAAGAGCGATGCCAGTGCTTTTTTTTTATTTTTATAATGCTGCTGCCTTATGGAAAAAGAACACTTTCCATGTGTGAAGCATTTCTTATGGGTGGTGTCAGATACAGTGAAACTGTGATTTTCCATGTTGTCTATAGCAGAAAGTTTCATATAAAAATGGTGATTCAGAATGAGTTGATTTTTAACATCAATTTTTAAAATAATCCTCCTTTTTATAAAAAAAGGGAGACTTTTCATAATATTTCTTTCCTCTCCTGCAATAGAAATTTTAGTGAAATGTGGTACTGGTATTGACAGGTCTGTTTTGTTCCATGCAGTGTGATGTTAAGTAAGGAGCTTCAGAAAAAACATCCTCTAGCCTGCCATGAAATTGGAGTCCATCCACTTTGAATGGGGACATTATTTAGGAAGTAGGAAGGGATACAAAATAAATCTCTGCATGCTACTTTGAGGATGACATGTGGTGGGTCTCTAGGGATCCCCCAACATATTCAGATATTTTATGGTATGTTAATGTGACTTGTGGATTTTTGTCTTTCGTTTGTATGTTTTCCTTTAGAAATTTGGCATCTTATATATAGTCTTCATTTCAAAAGAGAACGAAGGGAGGAAGGATGTGAGGAGATGACTCAGACATCTCTGTGGATAAAATATTTAAACTAGAAACATGAAGTCTAAATGTTTATGTAAAAATGCATGTGTCAAATCACTGTCAGCATCCCATGAACCTTTAGCTTATTAAATTTCCAAAAGGCAGATAATGAAAATATTCTCTATGCTGCTTGCCTTCAAAGACGTGATCCTATATAGCTGGTTGACCCCTGTCATTTCCATCCTGATGACCGAAGCTCCTCCTTATAGCTAGTGGAGGTAGTGGTTAGAGAAAGGGCATCCTAGTCCCTGATTTGGTCTCCCTGACTCTTGTTACTGAAGGCATTGGGTGGAAAGGATGTCACAGGGTGTTGGCTAGAGTTTTGCCTGCTTCTGCCTGCCTTCCTGCTGCCCCACTCTCCAGTCATCTGTATTGCTATGTTGGGTCTCCACATGCCTGAAGTCAGCCCATTTCAGCTGACTCTTAGACTGTCCCTAAGGCAGGAAACTACATCTGATGGCATCATCTGCAAGGCCTTTGTTGTGATTGTGACTTCTTTTTGGAAGTTTTGCCTGCTTCTGCCTGCCTTCCTGCTGCCCCACTCTCCAGTCATCTGTATTGCTATGCTGGGTCCCCACATGCCTGGAGTCAGCCCATTTCAGTTGACTCCTAGACTGTCCCTAAGGCAGGAAACTACATCTGATGGCATCATCTGCAAGGCCTTTGTTGTGATTGTGACTTCTTTTTGGCCATCCATGGTAGCAGTGGAGGTGGAGGAAGTAAAGAGCATTTAAAAACAAATTGTGATAGGTGGTGACTCTTTAGTTTAGCTAAATCCCATATTTCTTATTGGAATCGATGTAATACTTTCCTACTTACTTACTATTTACCTATCACAATACTAGGGGTTTTGTGTGTGTCTGTGTGTGTGTGTTTGTGTGTTTGTGAGCAAATACATATACACACATACTCCGATCTTCATAAGAAGGCTGGAAGGTAGATGTGATTATCCTCACTTTACAGATGAAGAAATTAAGGCTCAGGGAGGTTAGATAACCTGCTTGAAGTCATCTGGGTTTCAAATCCAGGCCTTTTTGACTCCAGTGCCTGTGCTCTTCCCACTTTAGTTGCTGTGCCATCTGAGTTGAATTTTATCTTATTTTTTATCTCACAGAGTAATAGCTTACAAGCAGCTGTGATGTGGGCAGGCAGGAAGCAAGAGGAAGAAAGGGAAAAAGCATGATGATCTTCTAATGAAATAATCAATCTCTGAATCATTAAGACTTTAATAAAACGTTTTTAATAGTTTATTTTTTTAACCCTTACTCCATACCAGGCACTAAGCTAAACTTGCAATTCTCTGACAGATATTATCTATTCCTACTATACAGATGGGGAAACCGAGGCTCAGTGGTGTTAAGAATATACCCAAGGTCACACAAATGAGATGCTGAAAAGGGCTGTGGACCTGTTTGGCCTAACCCTGAAGCCTGTATTCTATACTGAGCTACTTCTCAGAGTGTATTTCCGAATTATATTTTGATCAGACATATTTTAACTCTCTCATCTCACAATGTGTATTGGTCCTTGAGAAGTCCTCTGATAGAGTTTTTTAAAAAATGAATTAAAAGTTGGGCAAAATGGCTTACTCGCTCAAGTTCTTAAGAATGTATTTTAATTGGGTGTTGTTTGCCTTAAGAGAACCAGCTTACCCATGGAGTTGGAAATGAACTAAATGCAATTTCTAGAATCAATTGTAAATCTGAAAATCCATTTGAGCGTATAACCCATACTGGAAAACCAACAGCAGCTGTGTCACAGTTATGCCCCTGTCTCCCACAGCCCACTTCAGCTCTGGAAGAGAGATGGCTGCAGCTTATGCCACCAGGTACCGTATGACCACAGGCAAACTTGCTTAACCCGGCCTCTTGCTGTTTCACTTGTAAACTGAGGTGATTTTGCTCGGGTGAAGCCTTGGAGGGAAGATGGGATGGAGACTTGGTGATGCTTCGTTGTTCTGGCAATCGTCAGCTGGAAAACATTATGGAGGGGCCAAGGACCCATTTCTGGATAACGTTTCATTTTGGGGTGGTTCCCTTTAAAAGAACCCCTGTAACTGCAGCGAGGCCCTTTTGAGCTCGTCTATTGATATTGTCCTTCTGTGCCTGTCTCCCCACAAGATGAATTCCTCAAGGGCAGAGGTGCACCAACAAGCCTGGGAGCCTGGCACACAATAAACCCTGGATGAGGGTTTGCCAGACTGAATGGGACTGCATATTTGAGCTGGAATGAAGCAGAGATGTGATCTAGCTTCAAGGCCCTGATTTTATAATTAAAGAGGGAGGACAGGTGACTGTCCCAAGTTCCAGGGCTGACTGGTGAGGAGCAGGGATTACAACCCTTCCTCTCCCCAGTTCAGCTTTCTTCCTTTTCCCTGCACTGCTTCTCCATAGATTTCCTTCCTAAGCCTCAGCTTTCTCATCTGTAAAATTGGAACTAAAACATATTATCTCTGTTTGTTTAGATACCTTTATTATGACACTCCTCTCTGAACAGGTACTATGTCATAAGGGTCAAGAACATGGGATCTAAAGCCTTGACTTCTGGGTTCTAACCTCGGTGTCCTCAATTACTGTGTGCCATTTGCAAAATTTTAAAATTTCTCTGTGCTTCTGTTTTCTTGCCTATAAAATGGGGATAATTATAGTAGCCATCTGATAAGGTGGTTTGGAGGATTAAATGAATTAACTTATGGGAAGTGTTTAGAAGAACACTCCAATAAGTACCATTTAGTGATCCATTGTATGCACTACCTGTGTCAGCTATTATTTATCTATTATCTATTTAGTGAAATTAGCTATTCAATGCTTTTGAATACCTACCATGTGCAAAGCACAGCCACACTAAGTAGATGAGAAAATGACAGGAGATGTTGCCACAGACCTTGAGGTCATTATAATTATAGGACAGGCACTGAATGCTCCATGTATCATGGGAGCATTGAGGAGTGGCCTCCAATCTGTCCCCGGTATTGCATGGAGGAGGTAATACTGGTGCTAATTCTTAAGTAAAGAAAAGGAGTTAAGCCAGACAAAGCACTGGGAAGACTATTCAAGGCCAAGAGAGAGGACATGTTAGAGGTAGGAAGGAGAGAGATGCTAAAGTATGTATTGAGGAAGCAGTCAGTTGTCCTGGGGTACCAGCTTTTCAAGGTGAGGCAGGGGCCATAGGAGATAAGTCTGAAGAGGCAGGTGGAAGAAAAGTCCTGCATAGCCAGACCAAACAGCTTCATCTGGCAGAGGAGAGTCACAGAGGGGCTTTAGGCAGAGGCATGACAGGGATCAAATTTGTCTTTTAGAAAGATCCTTCTGGCTTCAGTGTGGAGTATAAATTGGAGTGTAACAAGACAGGAGGCCAGAAGCCCAGTTAAACCATTCACCACTTTCAGAAGGGCTGGTTGGACCATGGAAACATGATAGACATGGAGGAGTGGATTCCAGAAATATCTACAAGAGACCAACCTAAGGATTTGGTGATTGATCCATGCAAGGTATGAGGGTGTGGGAAGAGTCAAATGACCCCCAGGTTTCTCTCTGAGGTGGTCAAGTGGATATGGGTACCACCATCTGAAAGACTAAGGA